TCTTGAAGCAGGTCCTCAGGGGTTTTTCCATCAATCTCCAGGACTGAGTAGTTCACAGTAAGAGCAGACTCCATTTGCTCCCATTCAGACACAAACTGTCGGAGTTGCAGTTTATAGTCATTCATCTCTGGGCCATCTGGATAACCCAGCTCCCAGTGATCAGGTAGTGTCACAGCTAGAACAACAGAGGGAGAAGGAGTGGGAGGGGTAGAAGATTGTAAATACTGAGAGATAAGTCACATTTAGTTTCCCTCTCCTATGAGTGATTGAGAAAAACAACAGCATTTAATAAAATGTTTCACCTTTCTGTTTGATCACATCGAGATGTGCAGGGCTGAGGGTGTCAGATTGCTCAGGATTTTCTGCCAAGAAAAGCAATACAACAACAATAATGCTAACATAACTTAACAGGCTACTGAAGAGTATGTAAATTCAGGTATACACTGACAGATTTTACATACCATCATTTTCTTCAATGACTGCCTCTAGATTTGAATGTATCTCTGAGTCGTTTTCCTTTTTGTTTCTAAAATAGAGAAAATGAAAGCACCAAAAACAACATATTCAGTCCTGCACAGATATAACAAATGATAAAGGGACGAAATGTCACAGCAACATTTTATATAAACTTACAAAGGCTGTTCATCCGCTGCAAACTGTTCATCTTGCATCCTCTTCATCACTGCCTGGTCCACGCTCTCCTTGTTTCTCTCATACATTCTCTCCAAAACTGTTGAAGTGCAACGATGCATGAACCCTGACAGAAGTCTACAAATTTAATGCAATGATTTGTTTGTGGTGCTTGGTTTCTGTGTGTCATACCTTTATGTCCACCACTGTCTRTGAGACAAAAGATGATGTCTGGCAGGATTTCACCTTGATGTAATGAATCCATCTGGGAGAGGTTGCTGGGAAAGTTGTCAAGCACCCATCCGGTTTTGACCTCCGCATCTTCATCTGCCTCCTCAATCTGTAACATCAAATGAAAACACTTATGTAAAACATAGCCAGTGGTTTCAGACAAATGAAGAAAGAAACTCTAATAACATATCTGGCATGTTTAGATCTTACCTTTTTTACATGCTTCTCCAATACCTCAGCATGCAGAGCAACAGGAGATATGCTCAGTTGTTTGGCTTCCTCTATTGCACTAAGCACCATGACTTTCACTTGTGGATGATCCTCTGTCACTAAYAATAACAGAAAACATAAGCACGTACGATAAAAAACCTTCATAGTATCAGCACACAGACAATTTATCCATGTCTCTATGCATGTGCGCATGTGTAAAACAGAATACAGCAGTATTTTAAACTCTTATCTTCTACAGAACAGCTTTCATCTGATGAAATAAAATATCACATGATTAATTGAGATCTGACAGAACAATCCCCATATTCACAGTATAAAATGCTAATCTATGCTTCGTACTTAATGATATTTTCAGCTTCAATTATTTACAAACATCTATCACGTTGTATCTGTTTTTGTTCAAGACAAAATAATATGACTAAACAGGTGAATAGAATAATCGTATATAAATCTCAACTTGCCAGAGTCCTCTCTGCCGTCCTGCTCCATCTTCTTGATTCGCTCTATAGCGACCTGTGTAGTCTCCTCTTTGATTTTGTRGAGCCTCTCCTGTTCAATCTTGGCCWGAACTGGCTGCACCAGGTCCTCCATGTCAAGCACCAATGCATTGTAGTGCTTTGCTAGAAGCTTACATAAGGTGCTCTTTCCTGACTGAGGGGGTCCAATGATAGAAACTTTGCAAGGGGGCCTGGGCATTGGAGGAAGTAAGTACTGTCTTGGGTTTGTGACAAACTTCTGATAGGCCMCATGAGATGAGAGGATGTACATTTTGTCCTGGAAACTGAATGGGGGTTAACATGAGAGTCAGTTGGCTGTTTTGCATCTCACTGTAAAATACTGGATGTATTCTTCACTCACCCGACAGATAACRSTGGTTGGCCAGGAACAATCCGGCCCTCCTTCAGAGCAACAGGGCAGGTTTGGCCCCAGCGGCTCCTTCTCCACCTAAATCCAGGGGCCACCATGTTYGTGGAAGACATATTTCTCAGTAGGTCCTCCTGGAAAAGAGATGAACTGAGATTTAAACTACTTCTAYTTGAATAAGAAGTTGATTCAGAGGAAGGAGAACATCAATTAAAAAACTCAAACATAAGTATTACCTAAGTATCAAATAAAAAGGTTTGTTAATGTCTGACCGTATCAGCATATTCTGGTAAATCTTCATCAGCTTGGTTGAGGAGGATGGGAATAGAGACATGTTTTATTGCCATGGATCCAAGACGGGACATTACAGACTAKAGACAAAACAGAAAACAAACAAATGTCAGCCCACAGAAAACATAGGWGGTTTAASATGTTATACTRATTTTGTATAGAATATGTCTTTACAGAGTGAAGCTCTTCAGGTGTGTTGTGTCCATCCAGCTCCATCAGGTAGAGGGGGTTGTGGGCTACCATGTAGTCCTGAAAGAATGTTTTACTTTTGTCAGTAGTTTTAAACCATCATCTAATTTGATTTAGAACATTACATTACATTAAACTGGGTTTGCGGCTACTGGGCTGTTTTGTTCTTCTAAATTAATGTGTGATCCATTCAGAGACTGCAGCCCCTGGTAACTCACCTCCAGTGGTTTAAGCACTGTATCCTTGTACATGTTGATTCTAGTTAAAGCATTTTGGGTTAAATTCTCTGGTACCCACACCATCTGGTCAATAACATCTCTTTGGAGTTCCTCMTRAGCYGCCTGCYGGCAAAATAAARCATTTTAGTATGATAGAGAAATAGTGACCTTAACCCAAATCAAACAACTTACCGTGTCCAAATACATAAAAAACTGGGATTGCAGAAAATACTAAAGCTAATTGTATACAATTACAGGTAAACTYGACCAACAGTGGTCAAGGCGTTTGGCCTTGAACCTACCTGCTCCTCRTCATCCTCCATTTCCTCATCCATGCTCTCTCTCTTGTTGATGTASACATCTTCACACTGCCACTGGTCCCTGGTGAATAGTTGCCCTGTCTTTGGGTACTGCTTCAGACCTGACAGCCTCTGGGCCAGGTCCTTGTCTGCATACTGGTACAGGATGAGTYTAACATTCATAATTAAMCRGATGTCACATAGACAKACACTGATTGATACAGATACTTTTCACAAATCATAAAAACTGAAAAATGATGCAATGCAGATGCAGTGGATGTGATGTTAACCTTGATATTAATGATGAAATCAGGGGTCAGCTTGAGGTTTTTGATCAGTGCAACCTGCTCATGAATCTTCAGACACTCCTCAGACATGAACGGCAGGCAGCTCAGCACATATCCTGCATCACAACACAAKACAATGAGCCTTATTTACATGCATGATCACTCTACTGTACTGGACCTGATTAAATAAACTCCAAATACATTATTTACCATAGTGCTGCACATCTGGTGAGTTGAGCCTGGCAAGAATCAGCTGCAGCACCTTGTCTTCAGGTAAACTCCTCCCCTCAGATAAGATATCTAAGAGCTAAAATAGCAGACAAGGCAACTCAAACGCTTAATGGGCATACATAACACATATGAAATAATGGAGGGGCTAATTTATTACTCACCTCTAAACCTTCCTTTGTACTATTTTGTATGTGTGTGTTGACCACATCTGTATCTGAAATGTTGCACAAGCACATGAGAAATGCTGTCAATGATGTGCATAGATACTGTTTGTATAAAAAAATAAAAAAAATAAAAGTATTAACCATCAATCAGGATACACTTCCAGGACTCTGCAATGTTTTTGGCCAAAGTAGATTTGCCAATTCCCTGCAACATAAGATGAGATAAACATAAATATGAGTTTAAGAAAAAATAGCCAGTCTTAATGTTTTATTTCTATTTTGTTAATTTAGTTTCATTATTTATCACTTTTTTTGCATTCTCTTAAATTGGGGACTCTTAGAAAAAGATTATAATACTTTACAATCGATTTAAGTCAGGGGAAGATAATTCAAAACATGTTTGAGTTATAAGGTCCCACTTTTTCTATTGCAGTATTCGCAGGAGCTGGGGTGGAATAGGAAGCCAGATACACAACACAGTGTGAGAAGCCACTGAACTTCTTGGAGACAGATAGAGAAGACACTGCATGGTGAGATGATAGATTTATCTATGTACTAATGTTATTGTTATTATTTGTAAATTAGAATAGCTCCACATGAAGAGTGACTGTATGTGGCCATTGTGACCTGGTGAGAATGTAATAAGGACTTCATTGATTATACTGAATCTTCTGTATCTTATTTTAAAAACGACATCCATTGGTGTGTTTCCTGCTGGAACAATGTCTAATGTTGTGAGTGTGTTAAAAATAATAAGTTACCGGTTTTCCAACTATAATGAAGCAGGTAGGTTTGGAAAGAAGAGTCTTTCTCTCTGCTTCATCTTCTATCAAGTTGTCCACGAAATCCATTCGAGCTGATTAAACAGTGGGGAAATTAAAAGTCATTAACAGTGAATTAATTACCAAGCAAGTCAGTTGTGACACATCCAGTTTTAACGAGCCACTATAACAGTAATTAGCTACACTTGATATATTTCATTGGGACATTATTTACCTTTGCTTTGAGTTATTCCTTTATCCATTTTCTGCGAATTTAAACTTTTGTCATCGTTTGTTTAGCCCGTGCTAACCATGCTATCCTCTCAGCTAGCTGTCACCGGATACGGTTTCCATAGCGACACACAAACCAAAGCGAGAGGGGGGTGTTCCGGGTTGTAGCCTGTGTTTGTGGCCAGTCCGTGCTAGCTTCTTTATGGATTAAGACTAAGTTTAAATGTTTATTCTTAGAAGATGAAACTAATTACCACATGTAGTTGTTGACTGCGTGTAAAAGTCACAGACAAGTTCTGACCTATACAGTCTATGGTTCTGACCGCCTGCGTTTCTCAATCGCATTTTTTTCCCCGTCCATCGAGTGTTTTGACTCTGCGAGGCCCCGTATCAGCTGACGCGATTCATGACAGTCACCTGACAGCAACACATTCCCCCTGCATGCTCCCGTACTCTCGCCGAAATCCCATGGACGGCTGACTGGCGTATTTATAAATACGGATAAAGACATATATTACACATAAGTGAGTATTCAGGACACGTTCAATGGCGTTGTTTGGACGGAGGAAGTGATCACTGGAGGCGATTTGTGGCTAACGCAGCTAGTTAGCTAGCTAGCTTAGTGTATGGTGAGTAACATATGCTGGGAAATGCTGAAAGTAAATAAAGATGCATGCACAGTAGCTTCAGGTATCAGGATTGATCTGGTCTGTCTGTTGATTTATGATGCGGTGACTAACACATTATGTTTTCATTCACTCTGCAGCCCCCCCTGTTGTCTCTGCTGGATTCACTGTCACTGTTTGGGGTAAACAGGAATTAAAATGCCTCCGTCGGCGGCTGTCATCAGTGGGATCCAGAGGATGGTCCTGTATGAAACCAGAGCTGTACGTTTCACACGATATTCATTCTGTTATTATCACTACATATCATCACTACTCCCTACATCTGTGGTTAGTCTGTGCATAGGTTACACTGTCTTATGGTGCCTAAAATGTTATCATGATAACTTAGATCAGTTGATACCAATGATTATCACAATATATTTCAGATTGGGAGTTTAAGACTGATTTTTTTCCCTCCTGAGTAAAGGTTCATGACACCATTTACATTCAAGCAGTAAAACATGTCACAAATGCTCATGCATAAGAATTATAGAAACATACTGTGTGTTGAACCTTTGTTATTGTACTATTGAGGAAAATTATATTCCAGTTAGTTCATGTTTTTTTACCCTTGTCCATTTCTTTGTAGTTTTTTATGTTCGTTTACAAGCAAGATTGCACAAAAACGACTTAATGAATTTCCATGAAACTTGTGATATGGTATGAGTTACGGAAGAACCCAACAGATTTTGGTGCAATCAATACTTTGCTGTTTTCCCAGGGAACTATTAATGGTTGATTTAAAAAAATCAGGCTTATTTTGGAAACTGATATCCATGAATGTGTAAGATTTGGTGCAGCTTGATCAAATTTAAGAGAACTGTTGGGCCTTGGGGGAGGAATGCCCTCTACTGACACATTACATTACATTGCATCTCATTTCATGAATACCCCAGACTGCATTCTGGTTGTCCTGATGCTTGTTCTAGTACACAGGTTAAAGTACTAATTAGATTTAGATTCTGTTGAAATTTTTCACTGGTTTATTTTTCACAATCTTTGAACCAAAGAATAGCTAATTGAAAGATCCTAACTGTTTTATATTCATACAGTTCCTTATATTTGCAACCTGTATCTACAAACTAGGGCTGGAAACTGCACCTTATTAAGGACACTATGGCAGAACTATTCGCTCAGGAGACACAACAATGAGAAAAATATTCACAGCCAGGCTGGGTTTTTTAACTGTTGCAATTTACAACCCATCTCCTCACTGGATTGTAAAAAAATCTATGTGAGCATGAGTATGGAAAGGTCCTGTAAGATTTTTGTGCTTATTAGCAAACACTAGATGGCAGCAAAAGTGTGTATGATAATTTGCTGCTCCAAGTACAATGTGCATTATTTATGCTTGGATTTACCATGACCACTCAGTTATACATATTTACATCACAACTCAGAATAATTCTCACTAGACAAAATTACTTAAATATTTGTTCTCCTTTGATATATTTCACACTTGAATGACAAGATTCTATGAATCTAATTGTTTTGCCAATGTATTTAAGTTTTTACTTATAACTAATATTACGCCTGTGTTAGTGTTATGATTCGTGGCTGTCAAGTAACAAACATTAAGAACAAGAAACAAACAAAGACAATTTGTCACAGCTGAGTTATCACAAATTCCTTTTGAGCATCTGTCTGCCCATTTCACTGAACAGTGGATAAACTCTCTCTCTAGCTATTGTGGACAAAGAGAGCTCCACTGGAAGTATGGAACAGGACAAAATGGCTTTAACGGTTGTGCGGACTGTTCTGATACATGATGTTCCAATATAACACTCTTTAGCCATCTTGAAAAATAATGACTTGAAAGGAAAAGACGAAGAAGAAAGACACAAATCTTAACATGGAACATATTACAATATAACATTGCGATCATTTGTGTGCTGTGCTCACATATACTCCAAACTGTAGCTACTCTAATTCCACTTCCACTCCAATTCATATATATGCTGCTTATATGCTCTGGCCTGAATTCCTTTTATGTATAATCTCACAGGTTTTTGATACATTCAGTTTAAATTGGGCGGCTTAATATGAAGAGAAACTTTTGCACATTATTAGAAAAAAGGCTCATATAAAGTGACATTTTTCACAGGGGAACTTTTGGAATTTTTCTCTCAACACATTATTCTACAGTATTTGTCAAAGTTTGAGAATCAGACTGAGGTGTATTTCATCCATGAGAAAGTATTAAGTAAAATATTATCACACTACTGCTGTGTAGTATTCATTGCAAATGCCCTTGTGATAACCTGCAGCAAATGCATTATAGCCTATACTCATTCATGACTTTTTTTTTCTTCCCAGAGGTATTTTTTGGTGGGGAGCAATCAGGCACAGACCAAACACAGAGTCCTGAAGATCGACCGCACAGAACCCAAGGATCTGGTCATAATAGACGATAAGGTGAGCACAGAGTCTCCACCAGAGCTGGTACAGTGCAAATATATATATGCTTATGTAATACAGTACAGTACGCCAGGGGGGAAATTGTACAATCACTCAGCTTGTCCCAAGTGTATTGTGGATGACAGCTTAGCTGATGAGTGCTGACTGTGATTCTTTTTGTTCACCGCTGCTCATTTCCAGGATCTATGAGCTGGAAGTTGATTTGTTTGTTTGTGTTGCTGGTGATTATGATTATGATGTGTTTATGTGTTATTAAAAAGCATCCATGAGTAAATATTCATCACCCCACGCTCCAATTCCTGCAGATATTGCACTGACCTCTGGAAACCATGTTAATCTGATTGGCGTCGTGTAGTCATTTATAAGCTGACACAAGCATCAAGAAATAACATGCCATAGAATCTCTTTATATTTCTGAGATGAATAAACATGATACAAGGAGTTAAAGAAGGTATATAAATGAATTGTGGGGATCTTTTATGTTTATGTATTTTACAGTGGGAAGCATGTAATTCCACAAATAAATGGGAAATGCAATATGTTGTTACATATTGCGGAGGATGAAATCTATAATATGAATTTAGAAATTTCCCATTCTGGTAACCAGTTTGCATTTGCACTGTGTTTTTGTCTTTTTGTATTTAATCTTTCAAATGCAATGATAAAAACCACTGTTGCAGTTTATTCATTACAACATTGCTGAGCTAATGTGAATAGCAGCTAATCAATTTTTGGCTTAATTGCCTTATTGAGGATTAATTCAACCCCTTGTAGAAAACTTGGAGCCATTGATTAAACAATGCCTTTTAGACATTTGCTTATGATTGCACAGTGTACAAGTCTCACTGGCTTTGAGTAAAAGTATTAGTTGAAAACTAGCCGTGACAGGAAAAACATCATAACCAGTGCTCTACTGTTGCTCTGAAAGGTAAAATTACCAATGTGGAAACTGTGCACATACAGTTGATTCACTGTCAGCTGTATGCATGTACAGTAAAAAAATACTTTATCTGTTTGTGTATTTGTTCGCAGCATGTGTACAACCAGCAAGAGGTTCGGGAACTGCTGGGCCGCCTGGACCTTGGAAACCGCACCAAAATTGGCCAAAAGGGTTCCTCGGGTTTGTCCAGGGCTGTTTCAGCTTTTGGGATTGTGGGTGAGTACAGTCCCTCTACAAAAAATGCCAACACGTAACTCATCTACAAATCATTAGTTTTAAAGTTATGGTTATTAATCTGGTTTTACATACAAGATGGAAAAACATAAAATAAAAGGAACATCTGATGGTATTATGCGCATCACTGGTATGTAACACTTATATATATCTATGTATAGATATAGAGTGTCACACAGTCTGCATAAATTTGACAGCGATAAC